CAGGGCTGTGGAGTCGGAGTCGGAGTCGGAGTCGAGGAGTCGGAGGAAATTTCGGCTTGTGGAGTCGGAGTCGGAGTCGGTAAAATTGCCCAGACTCCGACTCCGACTCCGGTCTTCAAAAGTGACAGTGGAAGAAGCCATACCTGCTTACCCAGAGATTGTAAAAGATGTAGCTAGAGCTGTGACAGCAATGCCACCCACTCAGGTCAGTGTAGAAAGACTGTTTTCTGCAATGAAAATAATCAGATCAGATTTAAGGGCTTCCATGAAGGAAGATCTGACTGAAGCTATTCTGTTCCTAAGAACAATTATATGAACTCAGGCATATTCATTGCAGTGATTCCACTGATCCCACTAATTTTCTTAAATTATTAAAAGAATTTATTTCCATTTTATAAGCATTATTATGAATTTATTGTAGCAGGCACAGTATAGCACTATAATTTTGGACGATAGTCTCTTCTTTACCATTTGAAATTTTGAATTATATCAAATTTTGTTTCGTTGAAAACTGCACAGAGGCTCTCAGCTACAAAACAATTAGCTACAACCTGTTTTTGGTGAGATTAAGGCAAATTTAATTTAATAACTTAATCATGTAAGGTTTATCCATTTTCCTTAATAAGGTATTCATTTCTTTAATGTACATAAATATATAACTTTACTTTAAAAGGAATTGTAGGATCATCATTTAGATCCACATCAGATTATGAGCTTAAACAAAATTCATATGCTGAGATCAAACTTTTAGATATACATGTAAATGGTGTTTTCTAGTTAATATCTTGAATTCTTAATAAATTTATTTTTCTTTTGATTGAAACTTTGAAAGTCAAGCCTATCATCTTTTTGTAGTTCTTAAATATCGTCCAGATCATTAATAAAGCTGTAGCAGTACAGCCACGGTGTTTTACTTTTTACCTACGCAGGTTACAACATACAAATTACAATTAGGATGGTAGAAATAGTTGTTACAAATAGGCCAAGGAGTCGGAGTCGGAGTCGGAAGCATAAAAATTTGAGGAGTCGGAGTCGGAGTCAAAGGTTTTGTCTTCGACTCCACAGCCCTGAATTGACAACATAATGCGGCTACCCCTCCCTCTCTCCCCGTCATGACAACATAATGTGGCTCACTCTCCCTCCCTCCCCTGGGCTGCCTGAGAGAGAACCTGCACACACTCCTTCCATGTTGATCTTTTACAACGTAGATCCTTGTATTTCTTGCCGTTGTCTTCTACGCTCGAGGATATTTCACAAACAATCCCTCGAGCAACACTCACTTTAGGAAATCGAGTTGCTTGCGGGACTGATGTTTCCCGTCAGCTGCCGAGTACAGGGGGGAATGGGTGCGATTTTTACTCAGTTCCCAGCGGAAAGTTGGTGAAAACCTGCAGTGAGGATGACCTGACCAAGTGACGGGGAGGAAGAAGGATACAGGAGTGTAGCTGGAGCAGGAAGAGCGGCAAGCTTTAAGGAACACTGTACCAGGAAGAGATAAAGCACAGGAACCTTAGCCCTCGATATTACTTTATCCCAACAGCTTCAGAGACTGTGGGAACCTGGGGCACCAGCTGGAATGCAATGCTAATAATAAATTAGTATTAATAATACTTTTGTCTTCAATTAACCAATACACCAAAGAGTTGATCTCTCACAAATTCTTCTAAATAGCGGCTCACTTCTCAACCTCCTCTTACCCCTGGTACCCTACCTCTCCCCTCCCCTTCCTCCCTCTTCCTTCTAGCAGTTTACATCTTTATCTTCCTACTCTCCCACTTCTCCCTTTCCCTTGCAGCAGCTAACTCTCCTTTTCTCCTCCTGTGCAGCAACTCACCTCTCTAATCCCTCTCTTATCCGTTAGTTCCTCACCTCTCCACCTCCTGCTGGCCGGCGACGTTGGTGACGGCAGCGATGTACCTCATGATAATCTTGGAGGCCTCAGTCTTGCCCGAGCCTGACTCACCAGAGATGACAATACAGGTGTCCTTACCCCGTCGCTTCATCGCCTTATATGAGGCATCCGCAATGGCGAATATGTGTGGCGGCCGCTCAAAGATCTCCCGACCTGTTATTCACATGCATGGATTATCTGCGTGCCCTCCCCAAAGTGCAACATAAAATACAATGCATTTAAGCAACAATTTTTGTGTTTTGATGTTTATGTGCTGTACCAAGTCCCAGGTTGCTGATCTGCCTTTCTGCTGCATTTACACACAATTGTAGGGTCTCAATTGTTTCTCTTACTTTGACAACACAACATACATGCTGTATATTGTTTCTCACTCTTGATCTTTTTTTTTAATTTTTGTATTTCTTTATGGTTCTTTATTATGATTATTATTATGAAATTTTCGCCCCCCAGGCCCCGATGTGGGTCAATGACCTAATCCCCGTAAAAAAAAAAATTTAACTTCCAATCATTTTCAAATACCCGTATGTGTCTTAATACTTATTGTTGTCTAAACTGATGAAATTTTCTGAAAATAAATGACTATTGTTCTTTAGGACGCATAGCTTAATGCACTGTGTGTTTTTGAAATGTCCTTAATGTAGGCATTTCCCTACTGATATAGTTTAGTTACATAAATGTTACAAGAACTGCACAGAACCCAAAGAATATTGTTCCTTCTGATATAAAGCTTTGTTGTGTGTTCCAGAAAAACATCTGATTTTGCTTCTCATGAGGTTGCAAGTTCACCACCTGCCCATCACTTGAATATAAAAACACCATCAGCGTCCAACTGTGACCAGGTTGCTAAAGGCTTGTTGGACACGACAATAAATCTCCACCCCCACTCTACCCCCTTACACTCTGGACACAGGTGGGTGACAACACATACATTGGGTACAGCTAACACTTGAGACAGTGAGGGAGAACACTATTACTTGAGGCAGTCTTCACACCCAGGAGACCAGGTGGTGAGGGAACGAAGGGAAAGGGGAGGAGAGGGAAGGAGAGGGGGCAAAAAAACAGACATAAGATGAGAGAAGGGAAGGATAAGGGGAAGCCAAGATGCAGGAAGAGGAAACAATGGAAGAGAGTGAGAGGCAGGCATAAGAGGGTAAATGGAATGGAGGAAAAGGGGGTAAGGTAGAACAAGAAATGGAAAGGAATACCCATGTCAATATTAATGAAAGAAGACAGTACAAGATTTTTATGTGTCTTAAAGGCTACTAACACCGCTCTTACGTGATGTATCTTATAAAACTATTACAGTAAAGTATTGTAGAAAATAATATTAACAAATGGAGAGCTGGCATAATTATTTAAAGTTCAATTATTATTTTTATTATTGTATTACGTATGGTTTATATTTACTGTAACACATTTATTTATTTTTATACCTTACCAAGTCTGTTAGGGTGAAATTTTGTATAGTATTTCTACACTCTACAATACAGTACAGTTATATAGGTTTACATCTTCTTCGTGTTCTACTGGACACGTGTTCTCTGCACTAAGGATATGCTGAAATAGGTTTACTAAGCGTGAAAATAGTATTGCCTTTACCCTTATTGTTAATATACTGTATAAACATGACTCGGCTGAATAAACGGGTTTAGTTTTAAAGAGACGTATGGAAGTGTACCGCTGCCCCCCTCCCTCCACGCCACCTTTGCCCTTCCTCGCCAATCAATCACCTTACCTTTATATTGGTTGACGTAGTCCTTGCCGTAGAGATTGATGGCTCTGTAGGGGTTGATGGAGACACACACCTCCCCGATATACGTGTAGATCTTCCCGCCATTGAACCTGTAACACAAAGGAACGCCTCTGTAATGACCGGTGAGACACACACACACACACACACACACGAAAGAAAAAGAACAAGAAGAATAAGTATCCAAATAGCTTGAAATCCAATTAGATAACTTAAGAATGCATACAAAGAATCCCACATACTGTAGTCCTGTGAGCAAACTTGGTCATAACAAACAAAACGACGAGTGTAAATCCTTATGCTCTTAATAATTATACAGCGTAGAAGGGTGTCTGATGTGAAGAAAAAAAACCCTAAGCATTATAACCGGTCAGATTAAGGGGCATACGATACAAGGCATAGTTAGTGGTCAATGATGCCAAAAAATCATAATCAATTATCTTTATCAATCTTCATAATATTGTAATGTCATCTTGAATATTAAGATTATAAACTCCCTGACAATAATGACTACCAATAGACTAAAGTGTGTCCCGTAGGGTGAGTGTATGAGAGAATCGTGGTGAAGTGGTGTATAGATAGTCTTATGGGGAGAAGAAAATAATGTGTGAGTAGGTGACGAAAATAGGCGGAGAACAGGAAGAAAGGAGGTGAAATATGACTCTGTGAGTATATAGTGATGATAGTGACAGTGATGGTGAGATAAAGATGACATGAGTATAGGCCTACATGGTGGTGAGGTAGGTATGGTGTGTGGTGGTGAGGTAGGTATGGTGTGTGGTGGTGAGGTAAGGTAGGTAGTGTGTGGTGGTGGGTAGATGGGTGTGTGGTGGTGAGGTGGGTATGGTGTGTGTGTGGAGTAGATATAGTGTGTGTGGTGGTGAGGTAGATATAGTGTGGTGGTGAGGTGGGTGGGTATAGTGTGTGGTGGTGAGGTAGATATAGTGTGTGGTGGTGAGGTAGGTATGGTGTGTGTGGGTGAATATGGTATGTGATGGTGAGGTAGGTATAGTGTGTGGTGGTGAGTAAGATTAGATATATGGTGTGTGGTGGTGAGGTAGGTATGGTGTGTGGTAAGGTAGATATAGTATGTGGTGGTGAGGTAGATATAGTGTGTGGTGGTGAGGTAAGGTAGGTAGTGTGTGGTGGTGCTTGTCCCTGACTCTGTGCAGGTGTTCCACACACACGCACACACCTGTAACCTATATCCCTCACACCTGACTATTTGGTGTGTGTGTGTGTGTGTTAACTTACATCCCTAAGCTCACCGTCCTGTGTGCACCTCCTAATGCAGTCTTCACCTTGCGTACACCCACCCAGGCCTTCACTCTCCCCGCGTTTGTTAATTAACGAGGAGGTACCTGACAGCTGATATTCTAAGGTTAACACGTCATAACATTCACAAACAAGTCCCTATCATGATCCTGCCAACAAGGCCACCTGACAGCCGGAGTCAAGCAACCCAGGTCAACGCTCGCACCTACAGCACGAGTGGTAGCGAAAACCTCACCAACTCTCGCCTGGTGTAGCCTCCATACATAAAGGGTTACAATGCCAAGTGAAGGGGAACGCTGGTGACTGATCCTAATGTTTGTGGTGAAGTGCCCACAGTGGGTAGGTCACCTTGTCGAGAAGCTAAACGTATTGCTAACTCTCACATCGTTCCTCGACTGGTTATACCCATTTGTATAGCCGACACCATCATCATCATCTGCACCACCGAACAAACTGACCCCTCACTACCTCCCTACACGCCCTCTGTAGTCGTGAACACACCTGAGACACTCATCTCCCCACCTCATACACCAAATTAAAGCATGTACTGTAATTATCTCAGCCAACTTCCCGACAGGTAGAACAACATCAGTAGTGTCTATATTCTTCATTTTCTTTTCCTTTCTTTTATCATTTTTTCTTTCTTTCTTTCCATCTCTTAAAAAAATATAAACCAAAATAAACTAAAGTCAAAGTTACCCCGGAAGCCCCATACCAACAGCACCGACACTTGACACACTCCTACAATATTTACAATGCGAACGAAGCCCTAGCGAGGCGAATTACGGAGCCTCAGAGGAATAATAACAAGTAAGGCAACAGTTAGATACAGCCCCCGGGAGGTGACCATAATATCAGAGACGAATGTAGGTCAATTATGAGGTCAGCCAGCTACCCGGGTTAACATCAATACGACGGTAAATTCCTGAAGAGACTGAACGCTAACATATAATAAAAAAAAGCATAATAACAATTTGTATTACCGCAATAATAATAATAATAATAATAATAATAATAATAATAATAATGATAATAATAATAATAATAATAATAATAATAATAATAATAATAATAATGATACCCTGTACTGCATAATCAACTCTACTGTACACTCTCCTATTCATTTCAATTTATCCATTCACAATAACACTCATTTACTGTACACGTATCTCTTCCCCTTCTCAACCAATACAGTCAAGGTGTCGCGGCGTCCTGCTAAACATACTGTATAGAGGTTTACCGAAGCCATAAAAATGTAGTTTATAAAACCCTTGACTCAGTTTAACCCTCCCGTCTACCCCTTCTTGTTAACTCGGTCAGTAGTTGGATCACGTAAAGATTAGGCTCCCTAGATTATTTCACCTGATGATTAAACACCCCAATGTTAACCTAATCCAACAAAATTTAACATACATACCCTAATTTAACCTACCCTGCCCGAACCTATGCTAAACTAACCCAGTCTAACCTTACCTAACCTAATTAAAGCCCACAGGTGTTTAATCATCAGGTTTTTGTTTTTCATTATAAAATTAATATATTTTTTCTTTCGTTATCGAGTTACTCCTCTTCCTCACGACCATCTTATTCATTTTCTTTCATTATCACCTCATTTTATCTCTTCTTAATTATCTTATTCTCCTTTTCACCATCATCAACTTATTTATGTCCTTCAATAGCATTTAATTCTCTTTTCTTCTTATCTTTCTTCCTCTACTCCTGAAACATAATCCTTTTTCTCTTGGTCTTCCTTCAAAAGAGAGATCACATTTCGGCGCCAACATGCTTGACACACACCCCCCCACCACTCCCCCTCCCTGACGCCTACAACTCTTAACTTTTTATCTTCCTCGTGAGTATTGAATTGTAACAGTTTATTTAGCCAGAAGAACACAGATACAGAGTGGATAATAATAACAATATTAACATGGCTGAGCCAGTTGAGAACCTGAGCTCTCTTTGAGGCACCTGATATATACTACACATTTATTTCAAGGAAGTATTATGTAACATTTAGTATCATCTGGAATAGTACAATAGCATGGTGGTAATAAGAGCATCTCATAGTGTTACCACGGTTATCACTTCAATATTTATTTATTTTATTATTTATTATTTTTATTTTTTTAATTTATTTTTATTTATTTTTATTTATTTATACATACATATACTCAGCAGCCAGTGACCTATTTCTCCTGATAATGAGTGAGTACAGTATAATATGCTATCGTTCGGTTCATACCTACTGTATTTAATTATCTATGTTAACCTTAACTTGATGTTTACGCCAGGCATTGTCATCGATCACCACCACCAGACGAACGTTCGCTGGCCATCTGATGTTACCTACACGATGGAAGGGCTGTGTTATTAACTGCCTGACAACACAACCAGCAAGGCACACACACCCGATACCAACACCTGATACCACCTGTGGTTGACGCGGTCACTCACCACCACGTGACACACCCATCACCACACTCCCTCTCACCTCGGAGGCTGGGAAGGATATGACATGGGACAATTGGAAGAGTGGACTGTTTGTGCGAAGACGGGGAGAGAGATATGAGTGGTGGTGTGAGGGTGCCTAATGTGTAACGTGTGGCACTCGTCAATATGGTGAGACACAATAGCCCCCTCCCCCGGATGTCCCCATGTAAACAATACCACGCTGTCGGGGGGCCAAGTGTCACCTCGCCCCTCCATCAATACGCCCCGGAATAAATATCTCCCTCAGATACATTAAAGGCCATATTTAAGGTACAGGTACAATAACTACCCCACGTGGTCACTGTATCATAAAGGTGGCGTTGTGTGGTATGCTTCTTTCTCTTAGCAGTAATATACCTGCGTTTACCTGCTGATGATTATACGTTAAACAAGGTCAAAGTAATTTTAAGGTAAAGCAACAGATTATCCAGATGTTGTGTGAGGCTGGTATATACAATTCATATATCAATAGATAAAACAAAACCGCCACCAGTGTAGGATTACAAGGACAATAGGCAGCTGCAAAGACAAAAGATCTCTGGGAATACAAATGGCAGCTTTAGGTTTAACACAGGGCTGCAAAAACACAGAGGAGGAGACTTGACAGCTAACAGGAAGAGTGAGGCATGAGAGCTACAACAGGTTAACAATGGCGGCGTGACAGTCGACGTTTACAGCGGTAATGGTGTATGACATAATGGTCAGGTTATATCTCCACGCTCCTCCCCCACCAACGCCCTCACCATGCTCCCCCACCAACGTTCTCACCATGCTCCACCCCCACCAACGCCCTTACCACGCTCCACCAACGTATTTACTACACTCCCCCCACCTACTCCCTCACCACACCCCCTCCCCCCCACAGCCCCGCTCACCGCCTCATGCGGCACCTGTCATAATCTGAAGAGCAACCTACGGTCACCGAGTTACTGGTACCGGTGTGGATACGGGTACTACAACGGGTACGGGTGTGGATACGGGTACTACAACGGGTACGGGTGTGGATACGTTTGCAAGTATGAGTACGGGTATAACTTTTGGAGTTGGGTACAGCCAGGTACGGGTTCGAACTCAGTTACGGGATCATAATGGGGACGGGTGCGCAGGGTACGTACGGATAGGAGCGCGCGCACACACACACGCGCACATACACACACACACACACACACACACATTTACAGCCCTGTAAATGTATTGAACGCATATCATTATGTCTAAATCACAAGTAAGTTTGTATATTTTCATCCAACGGCTGCAACTCTATTAATAAACCGTTAATTATTATTATTATTACCACACACAGTAACAACAATAAGGCCAGACTAGT